AAACAAAACAAAAAAAAAAACCATTGCTGTGGAGTCACTTCTGACTCATAGCCACCCTACGGGACAGAGTAGAACTGCCACATAGGGTTTCCAAGGAGCAGCAGGTGGATTTGAACTGCTGACCTCTCAGCAGCCGATCTCTTAACCAGTGCACCACCAGGTAATACCAGTTAATATTGATAAAAGCCCCCAGAGAAATACCCCTCTGGGCATCCTTCTTTCTTGCTACTTTGGAAGGAGACTCCCTCTCCTGGGTCTCTAGACCATTCCTTAAATTATGTGAAGTTTATTAGCCTTAAATTAAAATCATTTTGATGCAACTTGATTGTACTGTTGTACTTGATTGTACCTAGCTTGAATCTAGGTGCAAATGCTGTGCTTGGCATGTAAGCATGATTGGTTTTTGGTAATCTATTTTAAATGAGCTGGGTCTGGTGAACAGGCAGTCCATCTGCCCTGTTTGGCCTCTCTTGCTAAGAATCCTTATCTCTTTGGGGCAGCCCAAGAAAACAGGATAAGCGTCAGGATCACCGCTGAAATCCATGGCAGAAATGTTTTGCCTCTTCTGACCAAATAAGGCAAGAGAACATGTTTCAGGCATTTGAAGTTGACTGGAAAAGACACCTTTCACACTTTTTGACACTCTGTCTGGAGAAGTTGGTTGTTATAACTCTTTACTCCTCCGTGGGCTAGGAATCTCCCTTTTTGCCCCCTCCTCCAGGCTCTGTTCATTTTACTTAGTTCTCATATGTCTGTGCTCTCTGTGCAAAATGCCTGCTTGTTTAGAGGAAAATGTATCTGCTCTGAGTTACACATTTGAAGTCACAGCTTGCTCTGTAACCAGTAGGTAGAGGAGGAAAGAAAGGTAGAAAGAAAGAGAATGAAAGAGAGTAGTGAATGGAGTCACGTGGTAGAGACAGACTCCAGTCGAACCTTTCTTTACTCACAACTTTGAGCACTGTGCAAATTATTTAACCTGTCTGAGCTTTGGTTTCTCTATTTGCAAAATGGGTTGAATTATACCAACTGCAGAGTTGGCAGTTCAAACCCACCCAGAGGCATCTCAGAAGACAGGTCCAGTGATCTGCTTCGGAAAAATCACAGCCTTGAAAATGCTATGGAGCAGTTCTACTCTGCACACACAGGGTTGACATGAATATGTCTGCCTCACAGTGCTGTTTTGAGAATTCAGTGATGAAATGGATATAAAGTTCTTGGTACACAGACACTAAAAAATGTGAGGTGGAAAGAAGTAGGTATAACAAGTTGCTGCAGTGGTTTTTTTTTTAGTGGTACCAATCATACATGCCACATTCTTCCCCATCCATATATTAGCTCATCTGGGTGTTTATTGAATCATCACCACATGTTGAGAGCACCTTCCCACAGAGCTGATTGGAGAGTAGATTGGGGCTGTTTCCAACTCCCCAGTGACCTTGGGAAGATTAAACAATTACTCTGAGCCCCAATTTCCCCATCTACAAAGTGATGATAATATTCTGTGAAGCAGTCGGGTAGTTTGTTTTCTTCACTAAAAGACTAGAAAAAACAGCCACAAGAAGGTTAGATTAGAGAATAACCAAAAAACCAAACCCTTTGCCGCTGAGTTGATTCTGACTCATAGTGACCCTATAGGACAGAGTGGAACTGCCCCAGAGAATAGACCTGGGAAAAAGGGTTTCCAAGAGAATAGACCTGGGGAAAAGGGTGAGTAAGTAAAGTTTATTCTTGTTTCTTAAACTCTTCTCATTTTGGATAGCAACAGAACATTGTCTGATATAGGACAGGAAGATGAACCCCTCAGGTTGGAAACACTCAAAATATGACTAGGGAAGAGCTGCCTTCTTAAAGTAGAGTCGACCTTAATGACACGGATGGAGTAAAGCTTTTGGGACCTTCATTGGCTGATGTGGCACAACTCAAAATAAGAAGAAACAGCTACAAACATCCATTAATAAGGACGTGGCATGTACAAAGTATGAAGCAAGGAAAATTGAAATTGTCAAAAATGAAATGAAATGCTTGAAGATCAATATCCTAGGCATGAGTGTGCTGAAATGGACTGGTATTGGCCATTTTGAATCAGACAATCATATGGTCTACTGTGTCAGGAATGGCAAATTGAACAGGAATGGTGTCATGTTCATCGTAAAAAAGAACATTTCAAGATCTATCTTGAAATACAATGCTGTCAGTGATAGGATAATATCCATGTGCCTACAAGGAAGACCGGTTAATACAACTATTATTAAAATTTACGCACCAACCACTTATGCCAAATATGCAGAAATTCAAGATTTTTACCAACTTCTGCAGTCTGAAATTGATCAAACATGCAATCAAGATGCACTGATAGTGACTGGTGATGTGAAAGTTGGAAACAAAGAAGGATCAATAGTTGGAAAATATGGCCTTGGTGATAGAAACGATGTCAGAGATTTCATGTAGAATTTTGCAAGACCAAAGACTTACTCATTGGAAATACTTTTTTTTTGACAACATAAATGATGACTATACATGTGAACAGGAATAAAATAAACTACATCTGTGGTGAGAGATGATAAAGAAGCTCAATATCATCAGTCAGAACAAGGCCAGGGGCCGGCTGTGGAACTGACCATCAATTGCTCATATGCAAGTTCAAGTTGAAGCTGAAGAAAATTAGAACACATCTACGAGAGCCAAAATATGACCTTGGGTATATCTCACCTGAATTTAGAGACCATCTCAAGAATAGATTTGATGCATTGAACGCTAATGACCAGACGAGTTATGGAATGACATCAAGGACATCATACATGAAGAAAGCAAAAGGTCACTGAAAAGAAAGAAAAGTCCAAAATGGATGTCAGAAGAGACTCTCAAACTTGCTCTTGAATGTAGAAGAGCTAAAGCAAATGGAAGAAATGATGAAGTAAAAGAGCTGAAGAGAAGATTACAAAGGGCGGCTCGAGAAGACAAAGTAAAGTATAATAATGAAATGTGCAAAGACCTGGAGTTAGAAAGCCAAAGGGAAAGAACATGCATGGCATTTCTCCAGATGAAAGAACTAAAGAAAGAAATTCAAGCCATGAATTCCAATTCTGAAGCATCGTATGGTCAAAATATTGAATGATCCAGAAAGCATCAAAAGAAGATGAAAAGAATACAGAGAGTCACTGTATCAAAACCAGTTTGTCGATGTTCAATCATTTCAGGAGGTGGCATATGATCAAGAGTGGATGGTACTGAAGAAGGAAGCCCAAGCTACACTGAAGGCATTGGTGAAAAACAATCCTCCAGGAACTGATGGAATACCAGTTGAGATATTTAAACAAATGTATGCAACACTGGAAGCACTCACTCGTCTATGCCAAGAAATTTGTAAGACAACTACCTGGCCAACTTATTGAATGAGATCCGTATTTATGCCCATTACAAAGAAAAGTGATTCAACATAAGGCAGAAATTATCAACCAATATTGTTAATATCACAGGCAAGTAAAATTTTGCTGAAGATAATTCAAAAATGGTTGCCGCAGTACATTGACAAGGAACTGCCAGAAATTCAAGCCAGATCCAGAAGAGGATGTGGAGTGAAGGATATTATTCTATGAGGGATATCAAGATGGTACTTGGCTGAAAGCAGAGAATACCAGAAAGATGTTTACCTGTGTTTTATTGACTATGCAAGGGCATTCGACTGTGTAGGTCATAACAAATTATCGATAACAGTGCGAAGAATGGGTATTCCAGCACACTTAAATGTGCTCATGCAGAACCTGTACATAGACAAAGAGGCAGTCTTTCAAACAGAGCAAGAGGATACTGCATGGTTAAAAATCAGGAAAGGTGTGCATCAGGGCTGTATCATTTCACCATACTTATTCAATCTGTATGCTGAGCAAATAATCAGAGAAGCTGGACTATATTAAGAAGAACACATCAGGATGGGAAAAAGATGCATTAACAACCTGTGATATGCAAATGACACAACTTTGCTTGCTGAAAGTGAAGAGAACTTGAAGCACTTACTGATGAAGATCAAGGACTACAGCCTTCAGTATGGATTACACCTCAATAGAAAGAAAACAAAAATCCTCACAACTGTACCAACAAGCAACATCATGATAATGGAGAAAAGATTGAAGTTGTCAAGGATTTCATTTTTCTTGGCTCCACAGTCAACATCCATGAAAGCAGCAGTCAAGAAATCAAAGAACATACTGCATGGAGCAAATCTGCTGCAAAAGTTCTCTTTAAAGTGTTGAAAAGCAATGATGTTACCTTGAGGACTAAAGTGCATCTGATCCAAGCCATGGTATTTTCACTTGCCTCATTTGCATGCAAAAGCTGGACAGGGAATAAGGAAGACCGAAGAATTGATGCCTTTGAATTATGGTGTTGGTGAAGAATATTGAATAATACCGTGGACTGCCAGAAGAACAAATATATCTGTCTTGGAAGAAGTACATCCAGAATGCTCCTTAGAGGCAAGGATAGTGAGACTCTGTCTCATGTATTTTGGACATGTGATCAGGAGACACCTGTCCCTGGAGATGGACATTATGGTTGATAAAGTAGATTGGTCATCGAAAAAGAGGAAGACCCTCAATGATAAGGATTGACACAGTGGCTCCTACAACAGTCTCAACCATAGAAATGATAGTGAGGATGGCACAGGACCATACAGTATTTTGTTCTATTGTACATAGGGTCGTCACTATGATTCAAAACTGACTCAATGACACCTAACAACTTCTTCTCAAAACTTACTCATGTTAAAGAATGTGAAGTAAGGCATTCACACTATAGTTAGAATTACCCAATATTGCCATGGGACATTTTCTAAAAGAGAATGAATGTCAAGAGGAGAATATTTTTAGGCTTAAATTCTTTTCTCAAACAATAAGTAATATAAAATTCAAACTCCTTTGGCAGGCAGGTTCTTTAACTCTAAGAGAGGTGTCTACTGAAGGAGTAGCAAGAAAGTTAAGCAGCATGAGACACAGGCAGATGATAATGGAAGGTCACTCTAAAACCTATTTTCAGGAGATTGTATGTGATATGAAGGCATTCCTCAGGGGTCAGTAGAAGGAACTTATGCAGGAAAATACTAAGAACAGTATGTCAAGGAAGACCATTTCTTTTACCTACTGGTCATGGTAGGACTTGCAGAGAGGGAAGGGAGTACATGAAAATGTTAGAGTACAGATCATCCCCAATTAGTGTTCCAGTAATTTGTTCTATTTCATTTGTGTAGACCTTGAGTCATGTTTTATCACTGAAACAATCTCTCTTAGAAATGGAAGGAATTTAGATGTCAGCTGGTCCAACTTCTCTCCCCAGCAGGAATTCCTTTTACAAACATTCTGCTGGGTGATCCTTTAACGTTTGCTTATATGCACCCTTCAATGATAAAGTCACACCATTACGTAGCCCATCAGGGAGCTACTTGTCTCCAAGGTTAGCTGAACAAAACTATTTAGCTTGTAATGTACCTGATTGGTACTGATATACTTTTTCACAAACATTTCATTTTTAATATGATATTTGTATGGAAAATGGCTTGTTTGGGTATGCCAGGAGCTATCTTATGTTTCTCTTGATTCTCATCCCCATGTTACACCAAAAATTTAATCTCCCACCAAATCTCAGAAAAAGAAAAGAAAAAAAGGCTCCTTTGGTCTTTGGTATGGGAGAGAACATCTAGGAGTTGAAATGAATGAGTAGAGCAGAGTCACAACTAGCAAATCAGGCTCCAGGGCATGGAATGTGGACCATGCCACTGAATGAACTTTTGAATCATGATGTGGTGCACAACTGAGTGTTATAAACAATGTGTTTCATCTGGTAGTTTCCTATTCTGATACTCCTTATTGCTTACTAAGTGCCAAAAAAACCCACAAAAAACCAAACCCGTTGCGGGTTGAGTTGATTTCAGCTCAAAGCGACCCTATAGTGCACTGGTTTAAAAATCATTAGTTGAGATTTTTTTTTTTAATTTTTTTTTTTTTTTTAATTTCTTAACTTTGAGTATCTGGGTGCAAACTCCCATTACCATTAACTAGAAATGGTCTGATCTGCAATTGATCGCAACGGATCATGGGGATGGTGCAGGATGAGGCAGCGTTTTGTTCTTTTGTGCATGGGATAGCCATAAATCAGAGGTCGACCCAATGACAGCTAACAATAGCAGTTAAACTCTGGATGAGAGAAAGAATGGAAACTCTTGGGCACTAGTAACCTAAGCCTCCTCAAATTCAGATTGATATGGGAGGAGGGGATTATTTAAGTTGGTCCCTCTCTCTGGTGATTTGAATTGAGGGAAAAGCTGGTTCTCCCATGGGATTAAGTTTGGGAATTTAGATTCTGCCAACTCTCATTCAAATGCAGAGATTACTTGTAATGAGATCTTCACTGGACATAACTGCTTCTCATGCAAAAAACAAAACAAAACAAAAAACGTGTTGCTTTCGATTCCGACTCATAGTGACCCTATAGGACAGAGTAGAACTGCCCCATAGGGTTTCCAAGGAGTGCCTGGTGGGTTCACACTGCTGACCTTTTGCTTAGCAGCTGTAGCTCTTAACCACTACGCCACCAGGGTTTCCCACCTCTCATGCAAGGAAATAGTAAATAATAGCTGGGTCTGAGCCTTGTTTGAAAACCTAGTAGGGGAAAAGCAGAAGAGAAGGAGGGTGATATTAGAAAATCTTGCAGAAGAATGACTTACCTATGCTATTATAGGGAATGACAATTGTCCCAGCATCGGTCCACATTTTGGTATAGATCCAGAGACACAGAGGCATCATTCCCAGGGCAAGCAGTGTGGAACATGTGGTCATGCTGATGCTGAAAAGAAAGAGGTAAGGTGACATGTCCACTTGGGCTTTCTAGGTAAGAGCCTTTTCATTTTTTTGCTTTGTGAATAGAAAGCCCTGCAAAAGACTGTTACAACCAATAGCACCATCAGGTGTGATGGGCAGAAATAGACATGTGCACAAGTTTGTACAAGGATGGCCTTGGTGAAACAGCAAAGTCTGTTTTTGGTGTCAGCCTGCTTTGTTATGTGCCGTCCTTCTCTCCTCATTTGTTCTAAAGTATCAAAGAAGATATTTCATAACAGTTTAAACCTATTATTAAGCAATGTACAAAGTGCCCAGGTGTGCCACCCTTTGAACTTCTGCTCAGACAACGGCAGACACATTTATACCAGCCAAGATTTCCGTGGGCTTCTTGTGGCCCAGTTGATGTAAGTTGGGCCTCTCTTACACCAAGATGGGCCTTTGGAGGAGAATGCATATCTGAAGGAGGAGGCCTCCAGTGTCCTTCCTTAAAGCAGACAAATTATGGGCCAAAATACTATAGCTTGAGAAAAGAAGAGGACACTGACTTATAAAACCGAAGAAAACATGTAGGCAGGCACCGTAGGCCTGGAGTATTAGAAGTGAGTAAGTTGCTAAGAAATTTGCCAAATACGTGTTCAGAAGAATCAGGGTTTGCTATTGTTCTTCCTGAGAGCATTTATACTTTAGTAAGTGGATATGGCCAAGTAAGTAGGTTTTGGTTAAATCAGTGGATTTTGGCTTTTGATTTTGAGCAATCAATATCAAATGATGCTGTTTTCAGCACTGTTAAAGCTAAAGACAGAGATTTTTGGTCAGTGGGTCTTCGAGGTCCCCTTCAAATTGCATCATGTACAGGGCACATTCTCTGCCTGTGGAACAAAGCAGTTAAAAGCCTTTTTTTTTTTTTTTTTTTTTACCTCTGAAGAGGTATTGCTACATACTATGTGACCTTGGGCAATTTACTTGACTTCTGTGTGCCAGCTTTCTTGTCTGTAAAATAAAGATAATAATAGTCTCTACCCTCAGAGGTGGAGCCCTGGTGGTGCAGTGGTTAAGAGCTCAGCTGCTAACCAAAAGGTTGCCAGTTCGACTCTACTGGCCGCCCCTTGGAAACCCTGTGGGGCAATTCTACTTTGTCCTGTGCGGTGGCTATGAGTTGGAATTGACTGGATGGCAACGGGTTTGTTTTTTTTTTTGTTTCTCTCATAGGCAGTGAGGATTAAATGAGCTAATGATGTGCCCTACTTAGAACACTCATTAGGAGAGAGTTACTATTATTCTCTGTATAGCCATACGTTGGTGTTACAACATAACTGAGAAGCAGGAAGCTCTAAGAGCAATTGTTTGGAAAGGACCCTTCCCCAACAGCTATCAAAGTAGTGGTTTCTTAAAGGTATTATGTGCATACTTAAAGGAAAATACTAAATATTTACACTGTCCTCCCCAAAATAAAACATACCCTATGCTAAGGAAGAGGGAACCATGGTTAAGCACTCTGCTGCTAACCGAACGGTCAGCGGTTTGAACCCACTAGCTGCTCCTCCGGAGAAAAATGTGGCAGTCTGCTCCCATAAAGATTACATACAGCCTTGAAAATCCTATGGAGCTGTTCTGTCTGCGCTGTAGTGTTGCTGTGAGTTGGAATCAACTTGACGGCTATGGGTTTATGCTAAGGAAAGCTAAAACTTTGCAATAATAGCCAATGCTAGAGATGTGTTTAAAACGTTTTCTAAGAGGTTCAGTCTATCTATTATGGTCATAGGTTAACTTAGTTTAGATATAAAACAGGATGCTAAGGAAGCATCCTAGAGCCTGAAAAATCGGTTAATCTGTTACCAATAGTGCTTTGTACTCCTTATAATTAAAGTGCTGAGATTTGTAAATGATTTTCCCTCTTTCCCTTCTTTTGTCATTCTCTAGTTTCTTTTTAAAAATAAGTTAGAATGGATTTAAAGTTATCCCCATCATAAAATTACTTTCATTCCTGTGCATCCAGAGAAGGGACAAGATCAGAGTTGGGGAAGGAAATGGTTTATATTTAGTGGGTGATCTTGACCATGAGGAGCTGAATAAAAGCAAGAGAATGGGTAGCCTGAAGTCAAATCTCTTTGAACAAATACAAGACCAAAATAAAACCACTTTAAATAGGATTAAAAATGATTCACAGATGAAGAATTTTAAGGAGTCATGTGGAGGAGTAAATTAGCAAAAAAAAAAACAAAACAAAACGGAAAATCATTTTACATGAAAAAAAATTCAAGTCTATCAGGGGCATGGATGTGAACAATAAAAATACTACCACGAATTTATATTGAAATGAAGAAAATACTACTGAGCAAGAAATTAAAAAATCTCTGGGCTTTAATTCTTCGCCTTAGCTGTATTACTGTATGTTTACATAAATAACATGCTATGCTAATTTTTTTTGTTTTTTACAGTAAAGTGAAAAAAATCGGCGTAGTGGCGCCTACAAAAACACCTCACGGGGCGGGGCGGGGGGAGGAGCAGTTGGCAAACAAACGTAAAACGTGCTCGTTATTTATGTAAACGTAAAGGTGCTTGGCTGGCAAACAAATGCACAAGCAGTGCGTGATTTTCATAAAAATACATTAACTACCAGGAGAAATTTTTTGGAAATAAAAGAATAAATTAGGATTCAGTGAATGTTGGGGAATCCAGTGAAGTCAGTGTAATAAAAAATGCAAAAGACTATAATAATATTAGAAGGGAAACACCAAGTTTGAAGGATCAATAGAAATGTTTATAGGTATTACTAGAAACAGGAGAAGTGATAAGTGATAGAGATAAGGTACACAATGGTTAAGAGCCTCGTCTAAATTCAGATTCTGACTCTGACATGCATTGACTCTGTGACCTTGGTCAAGTTTCTGAACCTTAATTTTATCATCTGTCAAATGCAGAAACTGATAGTACTGACCTCAGAGGACTGTCAGTCAATGTGTTTAAAGTACATAGCACTGTGGATGGCCCATAATGGCGACTCCACGCACAACAGAACAAAATACTGCCCTGTCCTGTATCATACCCATGATTGGTTTCGGATCAGACTGTTTTGATCCATATGCTTTTCATTGGCTGAATTTTGGCTGATTTTCAGAAGTAGATCGCCAGGCCTTTCTTTCTAGTCTGTCTTAGTCTGGAAGCTCCATTGAAACCTATACAGCATCATAGCAACATGCTTGGAAGGCAAGAATTCTACCACTGAATCACCAATGCCCCCATGGCACCGAATAGTACCTAATAAATGTTAGCGAGCAAAATAAAAATAAAAGCTACATGAAAGAAAGAAAGCTTGATTAATTTGAGGGAAGATAAAGGAAAAAGTCATATGGTATTGGGTTAGTTCTGTTAGAATAGAGAGGAAATGGATGTTTATGAAGTTGAAATGGGAGCTGTTGCTTTGGATTTGTGATAAGCAAGAGGGTCAGAGATCTTGAACCACTAAAATAATAGCACTGAAGTGGAAGATGAAAAAATCTAATAATACTTGGCTTAAGAACAAGGATGCAGTAGGAAAATCTAGAAAATAGTAAAAAAGAGTGTCAAAAGTAGGTGACAATGGTGAAATTGGGAAAAATAAGCAGAGGACACATCTGCAAGGGATTCCCCAAAGAGTAAGTCAAAGAAAGGAAAATGAGGAGAAAAAGTCCTTTCATGATACGGCGGAGGTCACTGCTAAGGAAGAGTGACATGCTATTGAGCTGTAACTGAGCATATGCAAAGACGTGGGTGTCACCCGAACCATGAGCCTTGGCCACAACAGTTACCTGAAAACATCACCTTCATTTCTCCCTGAAACATTTTGTGCATAAGATATCCACAGAACAGATATAACTTAGGTGAAAATATCTATGCACAGATCAGATTCACAAGCAGCAAATTTCCAGACTGGGAGGAATTGAAATATCACTTTCAACTGTATTTCAATGAGCAGAGATAACTGTCTTTTTTTTTCCTTTTCTTTCTTTTAGTCACTAGAGATTTCAAAATGCAATGGCTTCCTACGCTCAGAGGAGATGATAGAGCGTAGGAGGAAATGTTTTGCTTTCTTTTTCCAGGAACCACATCCAGGTGGAGTTGTTTTGCTGGCATTGTGTAGTATTAGTTCAAGTAGCACAGATGCTGATTAGTCTAAACAACCATATCTTCACTGCCATTGCTAGAATGCAAGTGGGGATGGAGAAGATAAAGTTCCAAGGGTACGGGACTTGAAACATAAATGGTAGATAGGATTGTATCTAAACAAATTAGCATGGACTTCAGTTAGCTGAGACTCACTTCAGAAGAATAAAAAATCCTTTATCCCACTGGAAAACTGTTTCCCAATAGCTGCAGTTTTATCCACTTAATTTGTTTCAAAGAAATATTTGATCAATTTTTTTCCTAAAATATAAAAATCATACTGTCATTTTCTTACATAGTAACATAATTTAACCTCCTCTTGGTGATTTGAGGTCATTGCAATAAATATTATTTGCTGTGCTAAAATAAATGATGTTTTCTGGGCTTATTGGGTTTAGAGAGTTGTTTGTCCCTAAAATAGATGAAACAGAGACTGCTGAGCTTTGTGAGCGTCTTCTTTGCGTTGTTGGCATTTTGGTCTTCTCCCTTGGGGTCAGGCTTTTCGGGCGACTTGCTGCTGCTGGACTCATGACTGCCTCCTTATTCCTCTTCCCCATTTTCCTGTTTCTGATCCTCTATGTATTGCAAAATTGCATAATAGAACTTTAGAATTAGAAAAGTAAGTAGGTCCCCAGTGAGGTTAGTTTATGAGATTAAGTGGAATTTATTTTTGGTGCGCAAAATCTTTTATTGGGTCTCGTTTGAGTCTGGATCAGCAAGGTTGCTCTAGTTAGGTAACTGTTAGAGTGCAGAGATGTTGGTGTTATGTGTACTTTGCAAGACAAGGGATCTGTGGCGCGCACTGTTTATACAACTAAAATTAAACATTTCAGTATCTTATGTCCCATTACAGGGCTTATTCTGATTTGTAGAGGGATTTAGTATATAAACTGATTCAGCTGGATGTTTGCTACCAAGGTGTCACACTCTTCTTTTGGTTTTTATTTATTCATCTTTTTGTTACAGTGTACAGGGATTGTTAGGCTAGGCAGACCAATTACGTAATCATCTCCGTTTCAAAAGAAGTAAGATTTCCTTAAAACTACATAAACATTTGACTTGGAGTTTTGAGATTAGAATTTACAGCTTTAGCCTGCAGAAGGAAATCCACTTCAACAGCCAAACAACCCAGCATCACACAAATATTTCCATCTTGCTACTGGATTACATAATGTGTGGCATTATGTTGAGGCACAAGACACTTTGATTTTGTTAAAACATTACAAATATAATGCAAAAGCTGTTTAGTGCAGGTCAAAGCCCCATATGCAGTTGCCTTCACTCCTCTCTCCTCTCCACTGAGTGGCTGCTAGCTTTTAGAAGGCTCGCTTCTGTTTGCCTAGGCTTAGGTCAAACTAAGTTGAAGTCTAAAAAGATTTTATTGCTATATTGTGGTTCACAGGTTTAACTTAACTCAATAGCACTTGGAATCCTTTGTTTTTTTTTTTTTTAACAGGAGTTCCTTAAGACATCTACTGCAGGGTAGATACAGTATTCCCTTCTGTGAAACATAAGTCATGTGAAAAAAACATAGATTACATGACTTTTCTAAAGCTTCTGGAGAAATCAGCACTAGGTAAGATGAGACACCCGGCTGGCAATTGCTCACGAGGCACTTGATCAATGCAGAACACGGTTTTACATTTTGCGGTGGTTCCATTTCTCTGCTTTGAGCTTCTCTCTTCTGAGTACAGTAGCTGGTGATTAAGGGGGCTGATTGCCTACTGTACAGTATTTAATAAGCACATGTTACATTAACACCTGGGTGTTTTGCAGAAATGCATACCTCTCACAGGAAATGAGGAATTGTGAGGTAAGGAAAAAGACGTTTGTCTATTCAACTTACAGCATTAAAATCTGCAGTCTTGTCACATTAATGCTTCGTCTTATTTCTATTAGTTTTTTTTTCCCACTACTAGTTCAGACTGGTACAGGATGAATTGGGCAAACATTGCAATTTAGATTACTCTGTGGGAAGCACAGAAACCATCTTCTGTTTATTTTGTAGCAAGGTAAGCATAATTAAAAAAAAAAAACCTGCCATAGGGTTTTTTTTTTCCTTTTTAATAGAAATATAGGTAAAACAAATGCAAGAATTCTTCCTTAGGTTTTATACCAAGAAAAAGCTTGCCCAAATAACTGGAGTTGACCATCGTCCCACCATAGATTCTGATGTTTAATGAAAAGTTTGATTCCATGATTGCACTCAGAACTCTTCATCATGACACAAAAAGTTTCGTTTCGTTTTTTTTTTTGTTGATACCAACGGAGAAAACTTTCTCAGCTGCAGCTTGTGGCTTGGGAAAGATTTGTTTTTTTGAAAAACTTTGAATCTTTTCCCAGAGATAAACAGCAGTTACCCAAATCCCTGTTAACTGAGTTAGATTAAAAAACACAAACACAAAAAATAACCCCTAAATTCTATAGCTAAGCAACTACGTGGGTTGGTGAGGGAATGGGTTTATCTTCTCCTTGTTTAACTCCTTAATGGTATTTTAAACCAATCGCAGATCAGTTGGAAATTCAGAATGCCATAGGCTTCTTAAAAGATTAACTCGATGCAATTGGAATATTTTGAGGTTTAGATAGCTTACCTCAAGTCCATGTCGCCATCGACCCAATACGCCAAGATGTTGGAACCAGTTCCTCCGGGACAGCATCCCATGATGAGTACCACCACAGCCTGGACAGGGAGGATGTTGAAGGCCAGTGACAGGATGAATCCTGCAAGGGGCATGATTCCAAACTGACAGAGGAAGCCAACACATATGCCCCATGGCTGCTTTATGTGCCCTAGGAATTTCTTGATTTCTACGTGGCAGCCCATGGAGAACATCACCAAAGCCAACAGGATGGTAAGGGTGGTACTCAGGACTACATTTAGAAGATAGTTGGGATCACTCTCAGGTAGCACACAGGATGTACCATCACAAATTGTTGCATTGGGCAAACAGCTTGTCAAATTACTCATTGTTGGGTTTGCTGTCCAAATGGCCATGCTCAGAGAAGCACAGATCCCCCAGTTCCGGCTCAGCTGCAAGTCAAGATAAGTAATACTTATTTCAACCACGTCAAACTTTTAAACCCTTCCTAGACACACGTCACTTGATGTCTCTTTCAATAAACCACCTCAGAGAAGCAATAAAAAACAGTAAATGCTAGAATGTAAGTTTCAAGAGGTAATATTACAACACAGCACAAATTATGAATCATAAAAGTCCAGCAAAGTTATTGGTCCAGGCAGAGAATTATAATTAATCATTTATTGGCATGATAATAAACTGTGCCATCTAAAAAGAGCTGTGTTAACGTTTAATGCTGGGAAGGTTTGTTTAATAATTTTAGTTAAATGACACTTAAAATCAACTCAAAATATTATGGAACATTGTAGGAACAGAGCTGCTAGAAAGCATATTGTTCACTCGTCTCCTCTTAAATATGAGGGAAGTGGGACTCTCTCTGACAAGCTAGTGACCTGGGCTAAGTTATACAGCAAATTAGTGACAGGCCTTGAACTGGAACTCAGATCTTGAATTTCCTTGCCCATTTGTTTTCCTCCCGTATCAGTTTGTCTCCCTGTAATTTGGTCTGTAGCTTTCATAAAGTACATTTAAGTCTGAAAAACGTCCAGGGCCTTGATACAAACCTACGGACGAGTAACATTTAAGAGGATGGAATGCTTTCTGTGTTGTCTAGTGGGAAGGAATCTGCTCGTAGAACCACCCTCAATGACTTACCCATGCAATTATGTATGTGTCGCCATAGTAACAAAGTGCTTTATAGACAGAGACAATCCCATTATTTTGAGGAATGAACCTTACAGGATTAGGTCAAAGTGACAGGATCTCTTTGTGCTTGGAGTCAGGAATTGAAATTAGAAATTTCTTTTTGTGAAGGGGGTTTCCAAAGGAGGTACACTTTCATAAATGTCAGATAGTCAACCTTACTAGAGACAGAAGATCGTAGTTGGGGCTAAAGGGAAGATAAAAAAGAAGAGGAGATTGTCCTAGTTCTTAAGAATTTATAATCCAATGATTGAGTCGAACGAAGCATAAGAATAGAATTGAATATTTTTATCATGATTCACAATTTATAAAAATTACAGCTTATTATTTTATTTAAACATCTTAAATTAAGTAGTATTCTCATCCCCACTTTACATATGAGGACTTGAGGGCCGAGGAGATTAAAGGATGTATTCAAGATTACCCAGCTAGTAACTGAAAAAGCTGGAACTCACCTCACTGACTATTGACAGAAAGTAGCAGGTTTGGCTTGGTGGAGACTCAGGGCACAGAGCTTGAGAACAGAGCTTCTCAAAACCCAGTGCACGTGATCCCCTGCGGCTCTTGTTAAAATGCAGATTCTGATTTCGTAAGTCTGGGGTGGAGGCGTCTGCATTTCTAACAAGCTCCCAGGTTATGGTGATGATGTTCGCCCAGGGACTGTCCTTTGAGTAGCAAAATCTTAGAATGCCAATGTCAGGCTGAAGACAGTTGTACCCAAGCTGGTGAAAACTGGCCTTACTGGTCCCAACTGATGGCAGCATTTACAGAGCAACTCCACATGGGAAATTTACCCTGCCATGAATTGACTCAAAATGAGCGATGGGAAAGGGAGAAGACCATTGAAGAGAGAGATAAATAAAGTTAAATGTCCAGGCTGTTGGGGGCCTAGGGATAATGTCCTTTTAATCTGGGATTGAGCTACTGGGAAAAAACGGAGCCCCTCCTGAAGGGTGGCCGTGATTCATACTCATTATTGATGCAACTCCTCTCCCCGGAGTGTACCTCTTTAACTGTCACGCTCCACCATCTGCCTTATCTTCCATGGTCTGCTTACCATTAGCTCTGGCCTGGCTCCCTGCCAGTTCCTGGGAGTCTCTCTTGTCTTTGCTCCCTGCCCCACAACAGCTAAATGATTAGCTAGGTTAATTCCCATAGGAAGCCTCTTCACCCATTCCTAAGTGTGTGCTGACTTGGCCCTGCCCTGCTGGTCCCATCCATGCATCTTCTGGAACTGACCTGTGGCTCATTTCTTAGATTAGGTGCCAGCCAGCCGCAGGGCAGATGAGCCAAATGCTCCCCCTGCTGCTGCACCTTGGCACCTGTCAGCTCTGCATCTCTTCTTCTTCCCCCAAGACCTGGTGAGGTGGAGTGCAGAATAGGCGTGCCTGACCCATGTGCAGGATTGATCACTCTATTCAGTCTCTGCCTTGGATTATTTGAACCTCAGTCATTACACCGTGAAAGTCAGAAAGCTAGTTTAGGACCCAACAGCAAATAGCCTCTTTTATTTCACCGTCTGGTCTCCGAAGGAAAATTTGATAACCTGTGGGTTAGGAGGAAGGGTTTACAAGTTAAAAATTCTCTTAAACTTTTGGAAGGCTGCAGTGCAAGGCCGATGCATGACGCTCAAGATAGGCATATTTAGACACCCTGCTTTTAAGTCAAACAGGTTTTCCAAGGTGACCATCATGTTTGGGGCCATGCTTGGTACTGGCTTCGCCAGGTGAAAGCCATACTTAGCCTTTTGCCCACACTGCTGGAAGCAGAAAAGAGAAAGTGAAGAGAGCATAGGGCAGACTCAGAACAAAGCTTTTTTCAAATTTCAGATGACTTGCGAAAGAGATTTTCGGCTCCCAGGGGCAGAATGCTTTGCATATAGACAACTTGCAAATGAGCAGTCTGTTTGACTAGACAGAGTGCTACAGTTCTGGTTAAAAAATGTGCCAATGCATTTCTAATTTTCACATAAATTTGCACATTAGGCTCAAGAGGCTTTAAATTCAAGTATTGGAGTGTTTCACAATTAATTAGTACGCTCAACTTCAGCTGCATTCAAATCCAGGCACCAGACCATGATAAATTACAAATATCTAAATATATAAAAATACTTCTCTGTAATTACAACACAGATTTGGGGAACGGATGTGCATCTGAGTGGGCAGCCGGGAGGTCGGGGCTTGATTTTCATTGTCATCTTTCTCAGTTTTTTTCTACTTAGTTTCTGCATGCCTAGCTCAAATACAGCAGATCTTCTTCACAAGGGCGGCCGAAGGTTTCTGTTCATGGGTTCCTGGGTTGAAACAGAGGGTTGTGATTTAGTTCAACTTCTCAGACTTCCTTCTGGTGCTACCCTTCACAAAGTAATCCCTGAAGTGGTTCCTGTGTATCAGGTTGGAGAAGCGAGGGTTTAATAGCTTTCCAATGTGTTTGCCCCGAAGTTAGCATGATAAAACATGAGCTTTCTGCTTTCTATTATGTATCCTCAGGGATGGCTCTGTTCAGATCAGACAGCCATCTGGGATTTGAGTAATTCTTTTGAGCAGTTGCCCCTGACTGAAATTATTTTCCTCTCTCCTCTTTTCCATTCCTTCCTACTGACTGATCTTTTCTGGAACCTGTAAGTCCACAATTAGAATCATTATTTTAAGTCTCCACTCCAGGACTGCATTACCCAATAAGCAGGGTACGCACGGGCCCAATTGTGCCTTCCCATCAATCTGCAGTGCACAATTTCACCTGCCCATCACCATATCAAAGATGTGGTGAAACCCATGTGAAATTGCTCACCACAGATTAGCAAGTAAATACGATTAAGCCCACGTACCTTGCTCAGTGCAAACTGGTGCATACAAGCTGACTGATTAATCTGCCCCTGCCGCTGACCCTCTTTAAGGCAGAATACCCTGCGAAGAACGGCACATGAATGACCATATTTCTGTGCAACCTGTGAGGCTTTAAATAAAAAAGAAAACAAAATTTGGGGGAAAGTAGTATAGAAGGATCTAGAGTTTACTGAGTGGAAAAAGCTCTGGGCTTGGAATCAGAGATCTAAGTTCTAAGTCTGCTTCTGTTGAAAATAACTTGCAAACTGTTAAGGTCGCTGTGAATAAAAAATGTGAAGCCTTATTAAAAATTGGGTGGATGGTACAACCTCTTTAGAAAACTAAGTATACACAGACCCTATGACCCAGTCATTCCCATCCTAGGTATGTATCTAAAGAAATCCATAAATTGAGTTTCCCCAAAATACCTGAACTAGAATGTTCACAGTAGCTTCATTCATAGTAGCTCCAAATTGGGAACTATGCAAATGTATATCAAGATTAGAACAGATAAATATATTGTGATATATTCACACAATGGAACTCTATACATCAATTAGGATGAATGGTCTACCACCAAAAATCTAATACTGAGTGAAAGAAGCCAGGCACAAAAACAGGCAAAGCTCATCTATGGTGTTAGAAATAAGTATAGTCATTGCCCTTGGAGTGTGGGGAAGTGGAGATTAAAGGGGGTCACAAGGACGCCATACTTCAATATAAAGTTAAAAAAAAAAAATACCAGTTGGTAAGGACGGGCTGGGGAGAGGCATATGTTAAGGCCCAGAGAAGGCAAGAGACAGTAGTAGACTTGCGAAGAAGTTGTGGAAGAGCAAAGCAGGGAGTAGAAGTAAAACGGTGGAAGAGGGGTTAAGTACTGGAAGGATGGCAGCAAGGAGTGGATATTTCACCTCCATTATTTTAACAAGGGTTGACACTGTTACCCATCTTATTTATCTTAGTGACTTTGCAGTTGTTTTTGTCAATTAAACATTTTCCAAATGTCTAAAAACATTCAAGTCTATAAAAGGTGCTTTTTTGGTTAATCAATCCTAGATAACTCTTCAAGCAAATCCTCTCAGTAAAAGATATCTTTGGGTCCTGTCTGGTTTATTCTTGTTGTTAGGCGCTGTTGAGTCGGTTCTGACTCATAGTGACCTTATAGGACAGAGTTGAACTGCCCCATAGTGTTTCCAAGGAGCGTCTGGTGGATTAGAACTGCTTGACCTTTTTGGTTAGCAGCCTAGCTCTTAACCACTGCGCCACCAGGGCTCCTCTGGTTTATTAGTCTACCATAATCTTTAAGTGGAAAACTAATTAATATATTTACTATGTCTCTTGTGGTCTCTTGAAAACTTGACAAAACT